GAGCTTATATGGTCTTAAACAGGCACCTAGACAATGGTACCTGAAGTTTGATAACTTCATGGAGAGATCTGGGTTTAAAAGATGCGAGATGGATCATTGTTGCTATTTGAAGAAATTCAGCAACTCTTATATCATCTTATTGCTATATGTTGATGATATGTTGATTGCAGGATCTGATATGAAGGAAATAAGCAAATTGAAAAAAGAAATGTCTCAAGAATTTGAGATGAAAGACTTAGGTCCAGCCAAACAGATACTGGGGATGAGCATCATCAGAAACAAGGATGGTTCTTTAACACTGTCCCAGGAGAAATACATTGGGAAGGTGTTAGAGAGATTCAAGATGAATGACGGGAAGACCAAGCCTAGAAGTACCCCACTGGGAAGTCATTTGAAGCTGACCAAAGAACAATCACCTAAATCCGAAAAAGAAAGATCAGAAATGGCTAAAGTTCCTTATGCATCAGCGGTTGGGAGCCTCATGTATGCCATGGTTTGCACTCGACCAGATATTGCTCATGCCGTTGGCGTTGTTAGTCGATTTATGTCAGATCCGGGTAGAGAACATTGGGAAGCTGTCAAATGGATACTTAGATATTTGAAGGGAACCCAGAAAATGGGTTTATGTTTCAGAGGGAAGGATGCTATTCTCAAAGGTTTTACAGATGCTGATTTGGGTGGTTGTAGAGANATCTTTCATTTACAGAAGTACAGAGAGAAGCCGCAGTTTGGTCCAAAGACTCCAAGTGGGAGATTGTTGGTGATGTGTAGTCATCGGCCCAAAGTGGCCCACTTGTAGACAACTGAGAGTTAGGAGACCAGATTAGGGTTTCGGCCGGCCCAAATGGTTTTAAGCCCAGTTTGCTATAACTTGTCCAGCAAGGGTTAAACCCTAATTAGTTGTCTATATATACGATCTCCTGTACTTGTAATCATCATCACTCAATAATACAAACCCTAGTTGCCCCTGTGGATGTAGGTCAGATTAGACCGAACCACGTTAAATCTCGTGTTCTTTATCGCTTTCTTGCTTTATATTCGTGTGTGTGCTTTTGTTCTTAACAGGGCATAATGCCTCGAAGCACGAGGACACCTCAAGAACATGATGCCGAGAAGGAGACAAAACAATTAAAATATTCTATATTAATGATGCAAAATCTCTGAACACATGTAGAACACAACCGCAACAAAAATGAAGTCTTAAGTACTAAAGATGAATTTCAAAACATGAATTTCAAAGCTTTAGGAACAAAAAATCTTTTAACAACACGTGAATTTCAAAACCAAAGCAAATATGACTATGCTGAATTTTAAAGCAAAAGTTAACAGTTAGAGAGAGAGAGAGAGAGACCAAAAAACAAGAAACTATAATAAGAAGGCAAGAAGAAGAAGAGAATGAATGAGTGTGCTTGTAGCAGAGGTGGGAGGTAGCACACCTTAGAAATAATGACAGAGCCGAGGTTGATCGAAGGGGGGATACATGTAGTAATCCGTCAATTGGTGAGTGTACACACCTCAGAAAGTTTTTTTTGGTTTTTTAATTTAAAAAAATGCATGGCCCCTTTCAGAACTATATCTCCACGTCTATGGTCTAATGCCATATTTGTTTAATTGCCTTCAATTGGATCTTAATAATGTTAATTAACATCATAAATGTTGCCCCTGGTCCATTTATCCTATGAAATTATGGCAGGATGGAACCATAGGTGCCATTGCCATTTGTACAAGAAGAATTGCAACAATCATGACTTCACAACTTCAAACCTTTGGTCTTCAGATGATCCCATCCAAATCTTCTTTGTTCCTTTCAAAGAGAAATTAAATGGGAAATCAAAGATAGGGAAATCCTCTATCCTCTCACATTTGTGCACAACTCCTATTCCCAGGATCCTAAAAAATCCATCATTCCATAGTTTCTCTTGAACTTATTTCTTAACACAAAAAATCCTTTATGGGTTGCATGAATAATTGAATACTACCTCACCAGCAAAACAGTTACATATTGGAGCTGTTCCAACATAGACTCCAAATAAAATAACATTTTCCTTATATTTGATACACCTTAATCTTGAGATAAACTCATAAACAACCTATTTTTTGGTTTTTCCTACCTAAATAACACTAATATTTCCTGGTATTATTCATTTATTACCCTTCATGTGGGCAAAATTGTGTGGCTAAACATCAGGCACATACACTCATAAAATCCACACATGGAAATATTTAGGATAGTCAAAGAAGACAAATTATGAATAGCATGTCTTGTTTTTGTCAAAAAACTCGCTTTGGTGATAATGGACTCACTTGGCCAAAATTCCTACTCAATTATAGGCTGCATCTTAATGATATTATGATCTTCCAATACTCATATGGCCAGAATTCACTTACACTGTGTTTGGTCCAAGGAATTTGGAAGGAAAAGAAAAAAAATGAGTTTCTCTCATTTTCCTCACCAAAATGGGAGGAACCGAGGAATTCGGTTTTCCTTCCACTTAGTACATTTGCCTTCTCATTTTCTTTTCCTGCCACTTTTCCTTTCTTTTCCTCTCAAACCAAACAAGAAAAAGTGTTTTCCACTTCATTTCCTTTTCCCTTTTAAATTCCTTGAACCAAACATAGTGTTAGAGAAGGATTAACAAGTCAACAGAGAGACAAAACATTGTTCGACAGTAATTGAACAGATTGTTTTTCTCATGTCTGGGATAGATTTTCTACAGTTCAGGTCAAGGGTATTCATTAGTCTTTGATTGAAGGAAGCCATGGATGAATTTGACGAAAAGAAAAAGTGAAGAGTTCCAACATTAGTCGTATAGTGAACAGTGATTTATCATTATAATAGTCATTGTTTAAATTTAATGTCCATGTATTTTTAGTGTGTGTTGGCCGAAACTTCCTACGGAAATTAGGCTAATATTTTGTGTTTTTATACCTAATCCATCATTGTGATGATTGGGAATCTTATAGTGTAAACTAGAGTTCATGCTTGGGAAATAAAACACAATGAAATTTGAGAATTAATATTGTTTTGCTCCTTGAGTAAAATCCTAAATTAGTGTGATGATACTTCATCACCATCCTCGATTTCTCTTAAGTGCAAATGTTAGTATCTAGTCTTTAATTAGGAGTGCTTCTTGATTAAACTCTAGACTTAACCCTAAGTGAGATTTGAGTGTGTAATATCTCATACTTGAAAAATGCCTAAACATATTTCTCTTATCTAAATTCCTGCACAATACTCATAGTTATTGCGGCGTCGCCTAGGCGTCCAGGCGCCCTTCTACTCTCACCATGAGAGCTCGCCTCGCCTTATGTTGCATACCTCAGGCCTAGGCATTGCCTTGGCCTCGCCTTTCCTCGACTAGGCGTCCCCTTAGCCTCGCCTTGGCTCCCCTAGTCCAGTACTTTTGTTTTTTTACTCCACTGCTTTATTTCTTTAAGTGTTTTATACCCCCGGCTCCAGTGCTTTGTTTTTTTAATGCTTTATAAATTAGTTTATTTGCAAATTAATGTTTTTTTCTTTTATCTTCCAAATTGATACTCGGTGCAAGATTTTTTAAATTTTAAATGATTAATTTATTACCAACTTAAGTCAGTAACACTTTTTCTCAACTTGGTTTTTTTTGTGAAGAAAGTACTTACTTTGGTAGTTAAACTTTGATGTATTAGAAAAATTTAAACTTTACCAACTACAATATATAATTTGATACATTTATATAAGTGTTTTTAATGTATAGCGATTCTCCTCTATTATGTGTCACTTAATTGTCGCCTAGTTGACTAGGCATCCTGGCGGTATCCCAGCACCGCGCCTTGACTTGGCGCCGTGATAACTATGACAATACTTATCACCCCTAGCCCACATACAACAACAAAATTGATCTTTTTGTTTCTTATGCGCTTCTCATAAACATCTCCAATCATCTACCATTTTGTTGCATACCATTTCCTCATAGAATCTAATGCCTCATAACTCCAATACTTTTAACATTCTACCTTAGTCTCTTGCAAACCAGCATAAACAGGCTGTGCTCTAAGAGAAAATGAAGCTAAGTGCTTAACATTCAAAGTTAAAGAGGCAGCAAAAGTTGTCTAGGAAAATGTACCAAACCATCCACCCGTAGAGCAATAGCAACCTGCAAAGACAGGAAACCAATTAGAATCAAATGTCATAGAGGAATCATGTGGACAATGAACTTGGGCATACTGCTGCAATATCTTCTAGATCTTGCTTGGACAAGTCTGGAGCAATTTTAACAAGCAACGGAGGTGGGCCTTCTTCACCCCACTGCATTTCATCTCGTGCTGCTTGTACCTAATAAATTAGGGGTCAATTTTAAATCAGCTTTTGTAAGAAGTTCCTAACTAAAGTAGAACAGATGATAGGTCAGAAAAATGCAGAACAATAATAAAGTAATCAAACCTTCTTCACAAGGTCTTTTAACTGTTTTCTTCCCTGAAGTTGGCGTAATCCAGGAGTATTTGGTGAGGAGATGTTAACCACCTAAAACATGCTTACAAGTCACAACCCAAAAAATAGCATGAAAGTATGTAGGTTTGGGATTGTGCAAGAATGAATAATCTAAAAAGACAACAGAATCCCAACATATCAAAATACAAGTAAACTAATATGGGCCAGGGTGTTGGAGAGTTAAGTAATGAGGTGCACCCATGATGCAACTGTGCACCTGTATAATAGTAATATGGAGGAACCCATAGTAGAAGAAGAAAATGAAATGAAAATTCATATTTCTTATAAATTTACCAGATAGTCAGCAAACTGGGATAATGTATGAACTCCTTGCACGTAATCTGCAGCAGCATCTTCTGTCGTCTTATTCTTTCCCAGATTAACCCCCAGAATTCCAGGACCAGCTTTCCCTCCCTGCACAATTTCATCCCCTGCTGGAGCCGAAGTACTAGAAGTTTCCATCTTTCTCTTACCATGTTGAGCACCTAACCGCTTGGCTACAGCTACAATTCCTTCACTATTGAAGCCACACCTATTAATTATAGCACTGCAAAGAAAACTGAAGCACATCAAGATCTGAGTCATAAAAAAACACCTGTTATGATACACAAGAAATTTACAATGCACTGATAAAAAATAATCAAAACAACATTGGTGAATAAGGTAAATGTAAAGATATGAAGACTTTTCTACCCTTCCTCTCTCAGCCTGAAGATACGAGGCTTTGGGTTGCCTTCCTGGGGAATGGGTGTTACCGAGCCAACCTCCACAAAGCCAAAGCCTAATCCGAGTAAACCTTCAACAGCCTCAGCATTCTTGTCAAAACCAGCTGCAAGGCCTATAGGATTTGAGAACCTTCTCCCCCAAACTTCAATGCCTAATTCAGTAGGATCTGCTCTTTTCTCAATTGGAACCCACCCACGAGCAGCAGCTGAAACAGCCAATCTGTGGGCTACTTCTGGATCCAGAAGTGCAAAAAATGGATTTACAAGTTTTGTTGCTGAGAATAACCAGCCACTGCACAAAAGATTTCAAGATGAGTTACTTCTTGTTCATATCTTCATGATAGGACATAATACAGAAATTACTTACGAACACATTGGCAATGCATGTAGTAAATGCAACACCAGATGTACTGTCAGTGATTATGGTTTAAAAGTTTTAATCTAGTACCAGAATGTTTCTTCATCCACCGTACTAGCATAAGCTCCTCCTGCTATCAGTAAACCAATGGTAGCTCCAGTAAATAACCTTCCCTGAAGTTTATGAAGAAAAACACATAAATGCAAAACAAAAAAATCTGAGGTAAAACAACATCAGAGAGTGCTCTAAGATGGTGAAACAATTTGTTACTTTCTCAAAAGCACAATTCAAAGAGCTTAGAGTTTTTCCCGAATAAATTAGAGAAATAGGTTCTAAAAACACGTCCCATCATCTCCGATGGAACAAAAGGTTCATTATTTTTTGGCTTTGTTTATGATGGAATAAAGAAAAATGGCTCTTTAAACTGCTTGAGCTTCTTTTTCAATAGTAAAGTAGGAGCTAGTCAATGCAACTTTCCATGCTCATCATGGATCATCCAGAAAGAGTCGCTCTATGTTTTAAACACAGGGGTCAAACTGCATACATCCGACCCCCCTTATCCTACAATGGGCGGGAGCCTTTGAGGCACTAGGGCAATGTTGTTGTTGTTGGTTCTAAAAACACAAGTTGAGAGGTGCATTTGAAACAGAGAAACGGAACTTACAATTATACAAAGTACCATATAACTTGAAAGTAGATCATGTGATCAACTAAAACCTTAAAAACAAAAATACAAGAACAAGCACATAGCATTCTGTGACCCCCTAAATACTGCAAACCTGGGATGGCTTCATTTCGTTTTAGCCATCTTGAACTACGAATACCCTTTCTCACTTATTAGAAACCGGAAATACCTTCACACAATCTTTGTAAATAACCTATAATACCCTGATCTCTTTCGAGAATCAAGATAAAATTTTACTAATTTTTTGATCTTATCGTTGTCCTTGATTTTAGCTTCCTCCACACTGCCAGCCTCCGAAACTCCCACTCCACAAGTATGTCAGTTGTGCACAATGTTTTTTTTCATGGTTGATTTCCATCATCTCCGATGGAGCCAAAAGTTCACTATTTTTTGGCTTTGGGGTGTGATGGAATAAAGCAAAATGGATCTCTAAAATGTATGCGCTGCTTTAACTAATGAAGTAGTAGTTAGTCAATCAATGCAACTTTCAACTCTGAGTTGGGGCTCTCTTTGGAAACAAGCCCTCTACTTTTGAGTAGGGGTAAAGTCTGCTCACACACACCCTCCCCAAACCCTACTCTTGTGGGATCCAACTGGATTGTTGCTGTTATTGTTGTAGTTGATTGCATCAGTTCAAATTCACAATCACCATCATAAAAAATTCACATTCCTGTATTCCCATGTTTGATTATGAAATAGAAAATGCAATAAGCTCACTAACACCAAATGAAAGAAAAAGAATCAATTATTTTCCCATGTTTGATTGCGAAATAAAAATGCAAAACAGCAAATGAAAGAAAGAAAATGCATGTGTGCAAGAATGAATGAGCAGAAAAAAGAGAATAAAGTGTGAGCAAAAACACCTTTTTGGAGGAATGAGGAAACCGGGGAGGCGGAGGAGGGGGGAGATTGGCAGAAGAAGAAGTGCAGTAATAGTTTTTGGGTAAAAATCCATTTGGTTTAAGCTTCTTGAAAAAGCTCTCTCTAATCAATCTCGACACCATACTTGCCCCACTCATTTTATTTCTCTTCTTCTTCTTCTTCCAAGCCTATGGGAATCACTAGCGGATGAAATTTCAAAACTTTCACGCTGAAAACAATGAAATTTATCGTTATCACGGACAGAATCAAAGAAATTGTTTGATGAAAGAATATGGTATTAGAAAAATCGTGGTTAGACTGAGCGTCGCAGAGAAAAAAAGGTTAATGTAGTTCTACTCCAAGGAGGGGGAAGGGTATGTTTGGATTGAGTTGTAAAGTTTGATTAGGTAGATAATTGGCAAAATTGACAAGAATACACTTAGAAATTACAGATTTTACATAAATACTCCTAAATTTGTTTATTTACACCATTAATCCCACATTTCTCTTTTATTTACATCATTACTCCCAAATTTGGTAGTGATCATTAGTGTTAGGGGCTGTTTGGCAACTTCTGGATAAGTAAGTGTTGAACCAATAAGAGGTCTGAACCATTAAGTGCTGAACCAGTAAGAGGTCTGAACCATTAAGAGCTAGTATATTGCTTAACTATTCAGAGGCAAATGTCTGATCAATTCAGATAAGAGGTCTTAACCATTCAGACTCTGTATAATACTTAACCATTCAGAGGCAAATCTCTTAACCATTCAGACATCTGAACCATTAAGAGGCTGAAACAAACAGCCCCTTACTTGGATGTGTCTTTTTTGCGTTAAGTGAACAGTTAAAATGAAGACANGTAGTGATCATTAGTGTTAGGGGCTGTTTGGCAACTTCTGGATAAGTAAGTGTTGAACCAATAAGAGGTCTGAACCATTAAGTGCTGAACCAGTAAGAGGTCTGAACCATTAAGAGCTAGTATATTGCTTAACTATTCAGAGGCAAATGTCTGATCAATTCAGATAAGAGGTCTTAACCATTCAGACTCTGTATAATACTTAACCATTCAGAGGCAAATCTCTTAACCATTCAGACATCTGAACCATTAAGAGGCTGAAACAAACAGCCCCTTACTTGGATGTGTCTTTTTTGCGTTAAGTGAACAGTTAAAATGAAGACATGTATTTTTTCACTTTTATATACCATATTCACCTTAACTTATTCTTTTCATCGTCTTTCTCACGTCTTAGTAAGCCTAATCATTGCCCTTATTTTCCATACCCTTTTTAAAAAAATCAGATTTCAAACTTCCTAAATCTTTTTAATATTTAATATCAAGTCTGTTCATATTAATTTAATTTGATTCAATAAAAAAGATGAAGAACCCCGTATAAAAAGACGCGCCCGAGGAACATTGACGATGAAGCAATCGCGGAGTAACGACGTAAATAATAGATAAATGTGAGAGTAACTGTGTAAATAAACAAATTTGGGAGTATTTATGTAAAATCTGTAATTTCTAGGAGTGTTCTTGTGAATTTTGCCTAAATAATTGGAGTTAGGTAAATTAAGGTAATAAGATTGCGTTTGGATATTTATTAGGTAGTGTGAGGTAGGGAAAACAATAAAATTACTTAAATACAAGATCCTCACGTACCAAATACTTGTGTAAAATTCCCGGATCCCCACATGGCAAATACTTGTGTAAAATTGAGCATGTCATTAAAGCATTGACAATGACAAGACAAAAATGAAATGTCACACGGTGACATAGATTGTTTCAACGAAGAGTTGGAAGATGAAGGGGGAGATGAAGAACCTGCGTCGCTGGAAAGCAGCGGGAGATGAAGATCGGCGATGGGAGAGGAAAGTGTCCAACCAGCGCCAGAAGAAAAAAAGAGAATGAAAGGGCAGAGCAGCGGAACTAAAAGGTTAGTGTAGTTCTACTCCAAGGAGGGTTTTAGGCATTGTGACATTTCGGAGGTGAATGTACTTTAGGCATGCTGCATGAGCAAAAAAATTGGATGTGTAGGACAAGGGAGATTAGTTTGATTTCTTTTTAACACTCAATTAGATGATTTGTTTCAAAAAAAAAGATGGTTTGTTTCGATTACCATTTTGACTAAAGACATTTTTAATATTCTCTCCATCTATTTATAATTTTTTTAATTTTCATTTTTAGTTCGTCCATCAATTATTTTAAATTTGTTACTTTCTCAAAAGCACAATTCAAAGAGCTTAGAGTTTTTTCCGAATAAATTACAGAAATAGGTTCTAAAAACACTAACATCGTCTCCGATGAAACCAAAGGTTCATTATTTTTTGGCTTTGGTTATGATTGAATAAGAAAAATGGCTCTTTAAACTGCTTGAGCTTCTTTTTTCAATAGTAAAATAGGAGCTAGTCAATGCAACTTTCCATGCTCATCATGGATCATCCAGAAAGAGTCGCTCTATGTTTTAAACATGGGGGTCAAACGGCATACATCCGACCCCCCTTATCCTACAATGGGCGGGAGCCTTTGAGGCACTAAGGCAATGTTGTTGTTGTTGGTTCTAAAAACACAAGTTGAGATGTGCAATCGAAACAAAGAAACGGAACTTACAATTATACAAAGTACCATATAACTTGAAAGTAGATCAACTAAACCTTAACAAACAAGAATACAAGAACAAGCTCATAGCATACTGTGACCCCCTAAGTACTGCAAACCTGGGATGGCGTCATTTCGTTTTAGCCATCTGGAACTATAAATACCCTTTCTCCCTTTTTAGAAACTTGAAATACCTTCACACAATCTTTGTAAGTAACCTATAATACCCTCATCTCTTTCCAGAATCCAGATAAAATTTTACTAATTTTTTGATCTTATCGTTGTCCTAGATTTTAGACCCCTCCACACTGCGAGCCTCCAAAACTCCCACTCCACAAGTATGTGCACAATGTTTTTTTCATACTTGATTCCCATCATCTCCGATGGAGCCAAAAGTTTACTATTTTTTGCTTTGGGTGTGATGGAATAAAGCAAAATGGATCTCTAAAATGTCAGCGGTTCTTTAATTCATGAAGTAGTAGTTAGTCAATCAATACAACTTTCAATGCTGAGCTGGAGCTCTCTTTGGAAACAACCCTGTTAGTTCCATATTGTGTTGGCATTATTTTTTGACAAACGAATAGATTTATCTATAATTATTTTAGATATTTTATTTAGACTTAGAGTCCTAGCATGTGAAGGAAGAAGAAGAGGAAAGAGCTTGAAGAGAGAATTCTAGTCCTACTTGGATTCTAATCCTACTTGGTTTACAATTCATAAGGAGGAGACCATGGTTGAGAATCCTAAGCACACTCTAACATGGCTATTCTATTCTATTAATATCTTCACCCTCCCTTAGAGTTTTGGACGTGCAAAAACTACAAAAACCAGTAGCAAATTCGATCAAAAGAAAAACACAAGGTGCAGATTTTGAGACTGTAAATTCTCTGGACAGCCCGCACAGAGTTGATCATCGCCAGAGATCTGACCGTTGGATTTTGCTGAAACTTTCAGAGGGTGTTCTCAACACATAGAGCTTCAACGTGTTACAATTTCACGTCAATCGGAGTTACGGATATTCTGTTATCGAAGTTACAATCTACACACTATTGCTGATTTTTTGCAGAAAACACTGCCCTGGTTTTCTCGATGGTTGGAGTACCAAATCTTGTCTGATCGTGCTGAAATTTTAGGAGGAGTCTAAGGACTCGTGGAGCTTCAATCTGAACGGTGGAGATCGAATTTCAACGGTTCAATCTCGAGTTATGAGCTTCGGAACAGCCTGCATAGTTTTGTAGATCAAGGAGAATCTTTATTTGAAGGTGTATTGGAATCTACGTCCTTGA